TCAACGATGTAGTCTCCAGACTGCAGTCCAAGCAGCTCTTCCAGTCCGACTGGGACATTGCCTCTTTTGCAGTCTTCTTCATCTTCATCGGTGAGTGACTGTAAAGGAAACTGATGATGGTTGCTATAAACATCAATGTCCATATTCATAAAGACTTTCTTACTGAAGGCAAATGCAAGATATATAGAAGTTTAGATTTGTAGTATACTATACTATACTATACTATGTCTCCATCATCCCTCACCCTCCCACCACTGATGAGCAATTCACAGTATTCATTCACATTGAACAGTGCTAACACCAGAAAAATATCTGACTCATTACGTTTTCACTGAAGCAGTCTGAAGGCAGGCTGTTGGAATGAATATATTGGTTGGCTGTCTTCTGGTGCAGCAGGAAGCCAAATGTTGTGGTGCTGTGTGTGTTGTCAGGTATGATTCTGCTGCTGGTCATTCTGGTCCTCATCCGCTGCTGCTGCTGCTGCTGCTGCGACGATGAGAAGGTAAACACACACACACACACAAAAGCAGGGTCGTTTCCAGAGTTTTTGGGGTTTTTTAAAGTATTTTTTGGGGGGGGTTATTGCCATTATGATAGGGGATGACACGCAGTAAAGGGCCGCAGGTCGGATTCGAACACTGGGCCGCTGCAGCAAGGACTCATGGGTATATGGGTCGCCAGCTCTACCCACTGAGCTATCCGGGCGCCCGATGACAGCAGCTCTTTTAGCAACACTCAACTGGCAGAGAAGCCCTCCTACATCTGCATGTGAAACCACTTTTAGAAGACATAATTAGAAGTTATTGCCCATTTCTGTCAAAACTGGATCTTTCATAAAAGGCTCTTGTTTTCTTATATTAGATTTAAAGGGATTCCAATATAAAACTTTACAATGACTGAGTCTCGACTGTGTTTTATGATTGAATAGTAGAAGAAGAAAAAAAACGAGGGCACTGTCATTCAGTTTATTGCTCTATTCATGTCATCACGTAAAAGCTCATTCAAAATTAGGTCATTTAGGATCAATGGTTCATAGAGGGGTATTGTAATTGTTAATTAAATGGCACCACTCCATCACAGTGAGCCCTCTTTGATATATTAAAGCATTAAGGTGCAATTTAGTTCTGTCAAAGCTACATTAAGAATCATTACTAAAGTGACATTTAGAATTGAAAAAAAAACCACTGCTTTTGTCGTTTGAAGTCTCCAGGGGGGCAGTCAATGGAGCTTTGGTCTTAAAAACTGACTGAAAAAAGACCTGAAATGAATATATATATATATATAGATAAAATATTCAATTTCCACTAAGGTATTTGCCACCATCCAACTTGCTTGCCATTGAATTTTCAATCACTACTCAAATAAAAGAATTCTGATGAAGATACCTTATTCAAATCCAACAAAAACTGGAGGTTATTCTATTTTACTAAATGTGTTATAACTAGCGCTGATTATTGAAAAGGTTCTGACAAACCCAAAGTATGCTTCCTGTCCAACACCAAAAAGCATACAAACGCAGTTAGCGGCTAGCTGGTGAACATAGTGGAGGTTCTTTTGGCTAAAAATCCAGATATTTTCCTCAGGAATTGGTAGAGTAAATATCAGACTTACATTCGCAACATGGGCACAAACACGACTCCAAATAAATGCTTATGTTGCTGTGCATCTGCTGGATATTTAAACAGACCAGCTTCACCATAACCACTTAATAGGGTGATAATGTCAATCTTGTGTTTACAGCTTATTTGCGCTGCCCCCAAGTGGCTCAAAAAAGAAAGCAAAATAAGAAAAATAAAAAACTGATGCAGGTTTAAGAAGGAGCAAAACTGATATTGAAGAATTCCAGTTGACACCCAGCCCTTTGTTTAAACACTAATTAAAACTGAGCATGGCGGACGAGTTAATATTAAGCAGAATCAATTTTACTGGGCCAATGATTTTGCAGCTGATATATTACTGGAAAAAAAAAAACTACAAAATAAAACAAAACAATTGATAAAAACACCATCTTATGAGTATTTCTGTATGAGATGTGGAGTCACTGTATACACATCTGCACCTAGTTTGGAGCAGTGGAATCAAATCAACCATCAGAAACCAGCTCTTCCTGCCCATCTGTGCTAAAAAGCCCCATTTGAGTAAGGACACATCAACTGGCTAGGTCTGCCCCAGAGATATACGTATGGTACCAAACCACAACACTTTGAGTCATAATGCACATAGGCTTTCAGCTCTGGGCGTCATATTATATAATCTGGCCATGCACTATAAAGGCAAATTGGAGGCAACAGTTGAATACATTGCTACAAGAGAAAGAGGATAAAGCCACGTCATGTTCCACTGCCACGACTCAGAAAGAAGTGCCCAACACACATTAGAGATGTATTCAGCCAAACAACATGCTACCATAACCCTTAAAGAAACACCTGAAATGGGACAACAACCATGACTACACACAACTACCTGGACCTTGATTTACAGAATTTCCTTAAAACAGCGATACCAGGTTGCCCCTAGCGTTTTAATGTCCGTTTGTGATATTCTCTTCCTCCGAGCAGCATTAGGCGTGAGCCCGCAACGTCCTCGTTTGCTGTAGATTACAAGTAAGAAGGACCGGAGGCACATATGAGACACACAGCTCCTTCGACTTCAGAGACGTTTCCTATCTGTAGCGTTTAGACATCTTCCTCATCTCACTCTGGACTTCATGCTCCATTTAAAGCTTCGCTACTTTAGCAAACATCCTCTATTGCGTTTCAAAAACTTTTCAGGTTTCAATCTTTTTTGCTACTTTGCCACAAACACACCTCAAATGCTTTTTTTTTCACCCTTCTTGCAACACCTCCTTCCTCACTTTCTTCCTCCCTCATCTCCTTCTTCACTGTGTGTCTTGGTTTACAAAAAACCTGTGCGTGTTTCCAAGATTTTCTGAGTGCTTTCGGAAAATTAAAAAGACTGCCCGCCGTATTGCTTATACAGGAAGAAAACGTACAATAAATAAATAAAACCTTGTTTTAAAATCAAGAAGCTAGGAGGAGAGAAAAGAAGAAAACTGGAGAAAGACAGAAATAAGATCTGAACAGAACACCAAAGCTCATTTTTACACAATTTTGTCACTCGAACACATCATCACAAACACAGAGAATAAAGAGTTTAACAGCCTACTTGTTGTCTAGCTTTTTTGTTTGTCAGCTTGTTTATGATAGTGAAGAGAGCGGAAGTGATGGAGCAGATGAGATGGACAATGAAGTACTATGATGTCAATGAAGCAGTGGTTACTGGGAACAGTAACTAAAGTCACGAGGAATAGACGAGCTATGTGTGTGACGGAAGCCATGGGTGAGTCTGAGAGGGTTTCCACGCTGCTCAGTCAACGAATGAAGCGATCGCCGCTGTCGTATGTGGAGGTGAGACGATGCAGGGTCACCACCAGGCAAAGAGAATCCAAGTGACACCCTAATGATTTCCGGTCAGCCAGCTTGGAGATGACGCAACCAAATATGTGAGAAAACCTTGCCGTCCCCTCATTTCCCCAAGCTTAGTCTATACAGTCATTTCAGCCAAATATAGGAGGGTAGGGATGGCGGCGATGATGATGGCGCATGACGATGAAGAGGCATGACAACATGAAGTTGATACTAGAGTGGCAGACCTATTGGATGATTAAAACATTTGCAATGACAGATTTAAGATAAAAGGGGTTTTCAGAGCTTTATGGGGGCAAGAAAGGTCAAGATTCCTTTAAGGAGCTGCTGTTGTCACCCTGGACCCCCCCCTGAAGACGCAGCGAGGAGGGGGCATAGGGGGAGCCGGCGCAGCCTGCAGAAGCCAACGATTCAATGAGGGAGACACTGCGAGGAGCCAGGGGGTGGTGGTGGTGGTTTTGATGTAGAGAATAGAAGGAACCGTGTGGGTTGGGACTGTTGTTGTCCTGGGGGGCTGGCCAGGTGACGATGTCGGCGCCGTGGTCCGTGCGAGAGCGAGCATTCTCGCGGAAGTTGAGCTTGAAAGACTCAATCTGCAGCAGAGAGGTTGGAAAGAAAGAGGGCAGAGAAGAGAGGGGGGGGAAGAAGAAAAAAAAATAGATAGGGGAAGGTAGGGAGGTATTGTTGTGGGGGTTGAGATGAGGAGGGCAGAGGGATAGAAGAATTAGATGCCTGCAAGATAAGAAGTCAAAAGATGATGTTGTGATCAGGTGCTTTGGACTACAGACAACATGGTGATGAATACAACACAAACAGATACAGATACACTCACATGCAGTCACAAAGATACTTTATGATGAACAATTTCAGTTAAGGAGAAAAAAGTGAAAACCCACAAGGCTGTTAGTCCATTTATTATACAGTATGCTATGTTTGCAATAGGAGTACCACAGGGCATCATTGGAGGAATTCTTCCATTTTTGGTACACGGCAATCAAACCCAGCAGATGAGACTGGCACACACACAAACTTACTTGTCTCTGGGATGCACGAGTCCAGAGCCTGGGCCTCCCGGAGGCCCTCACTATCACAGGGAGCCCCCTCCTTCAGCCCATTCTCCTGGGCAGCAGGGCTCCCTGCCTGCCCTGGCTCAGAGCCTGGGGCTGCGGTGCCACTCAGGGGAGTCCCATTCCCCTCTGTTGTGTCCTGGGCCCCCTCAGCCTAGAAACACATAGCAGGGCGTGTCAATCGGTGGGGGATGGGGATGGAACAACCTGGCTCCAAATCTTGTATAACTGAAGTTCATTTGTTGTCTTTTGTGAAAGACAGGATATAGTTCTGTCTGTAGTTACTGACCATAGTCTAGATGGATGGTTTGCAAAAATCTGGCGAGGCACATACCTTAATAAAAAGATCTGGAGCCAGACTAAGGTGGGTGGTGATGGAATTACAAAATAATGGTGTATAACATTCAAACTGAACAACTGAACATGCCCAATGATTGCAGTGATAGCAAACAAATTCAAGCACATCATATAAAAAAAGCAGATGCAAAATGTGTAGGCGTTTTTCCTGAACCACAAACCCTTCTGCATGATCTCATACACATATCTGTAAAAACACTTGAATGCTATTATCCTATTTCTAATGACAAAACCCAGGACAATCAGGAAAATACACAATCAAAGAGGCCTGAATAGCTTTATACTTAACACGTAGTTCAATAGACTCATCAGACAAGGTATTATTTATCTTAAGATGAATCCACATTTTCCACAAGAAATATATAGAAAATAAATATAGAATATCACTACTGCTAAACATATAAGGACACCCATCATTTGGAGACTCTCGACAGTGACACAGCATGAGACAGGGTGGGTGTTTAAAGCCTGCACAATTCTAAAATAAAGATAGATAAGATATTGTATGCATGATATACAGTATTTCCAACAAAAACAAACAAAAGTAAGATAAGCAAAATATCAGTTTTTGTCATTGTTATAAAGAGCATATTTCAAAGCTCAAAATAAAAATAGACTTCAGTTCACTTAAAAAAAGCTACAGCCTCTCTCAAAACAGGTTCTTATTATGTGAGTGCTATTTTTAACTGTCTTAAAATGCATCTTCACTCTGTTGGTGGGTGCAGATGATGATGGCGTGTGAAGATGAGGGTGTGAGTGAAGGATGGGATCATGCAGCGATCATGAATCCCAGATGGGGTGTCATAGGCTGAGGGGACAGGTGACATCATTTCTGTTCAATTTGCTCTTGCTACTTTAAATTCCCATCCCATACAATAAACTTAATCCTGTTTGAAATGTTTTCTATTTTAGAAATATATGACCATCCCCAATCTTTCATATCAAATGCCACATGCCAGCATGTCAACATCCTTTCCCTGTGTCCCTGTCTTCTCCCATTCTCTCTCTCTAAATGTGTTGGACAGAGCTGAGGTGCGCCCTGCAGGGAGGCATCCAGACACAACAGAAGGACAAAGGGCCAGGAAAAAGGGACCCGACTGCAGGTGTGGAGGGTTTGAGATGTTTTCAGGTTGCTGTAGATGGTTTATGACAGGCTGTCATTATCATCAGCGATTGTAGCTCGAAGCCACCTAGCATCTTTTAGATGTTGTTATGAACACGGCGGTGGAAAGAGACAAGCATGAAACGGTTTTCTCCTCACACAAATACCTCCATGACACTGTTTTATTCATTAATATGCAGACAAACAGGAAATGAAGGAACTGAGTCAGCAGTTGCATCCTTTAGACATCCATCTTCTGATATCTGATCTGGATATCACGAGCACACTCTCTACATGTCTGATCATTCAGTGTTAGAAGACAGTGTACTACATGGGCACAAAGGTCAAAGTTGCTTTTTTTTAATACTATTTATTAGTTTATGTAGTCATTAATGTTTAATTTGACAGAGAACTACTTGAAACCAAGTTTTCAGGGGCTTTAATAAAGAGATATTACTTTACTTAAAGAACCAGCATGTAGGATTTAGTTCCATCTAGTGGTGAAGTTGCACATCACAACCAAGTGAAACCACTCACCTCAACTGAGTGTTCGGAAAAACTACGGTGGCTGTGAAACTCACAAAAAAAAAATGCAAACGGTACTATCTAGAGACAGTGTTTGCTTTATCTGTTCTGGGCTACATTAGAAACATGGCAGTTCAACATTGCAGAGAGCCCACTCTGTAGATAAAAACAGCTCATTCTAAGGTAACAAAAACATAATGATTCTAATATTCAGGTGATTATACACTCATTAAAAAACACACCTATGAATATTATATTCCATTTCTGACAATAGAGCATCCTAAATGTTACACACTTGACCTTTAAGATCAGACACTTCCAATGAACAGGAATGTGAAAGCAACATTTTATAGACAGAGTAATGGTGTGCACGTGTGATGATCATACCTTGATGTTTCCTCCACCGGGTGAATGGCTCACATTGTCCATGGAGCCAACTTTGGACTGGGCCTTTTCCCTAAAGCTCACTTTGTGGGACTCGATCTTCACAACACCACCGCCTGCGGCACACACGCATGATCAGTCTGATGGTCATACACATGCAGGCATGGACACAAGCTTACATATTCATGAGCATGTGCAAAACAGATACAGCTTCTGCACCGGCATCTCATGCTTCACTGAGAGCAACTGTGGTAACTGTTTCAGACCCCGCTTGAGTTTGATGCTTAAAATATTGACATGAAAGTCTGATTTAATACTTTTGAATTACAATGTGGTATCATGACTACAAAACTTGGGAGGGATTTTTATACATTTAATTTTTACAATATATTATGGAGCCATGACTTGACAGTTTATTGATACACCTATTTAAAAGTAATGCAGTTTAATCCAACAACCCTGCAATAAACTGTATAAGTATTTGGCACAAGGGGGCTCTGATTTATACAGGGGTGGCATGTAGTATGTGTCTCAGCTTTCCGTTCATACCCAATTTATGCAATTCCAACACTGTTTATGGACCCCAGTATGCAGAAATATTAAAATACACGAGGTGAAAATAATATATTTATACCACATGCTAAAAACTGCATGGTTCTTGCCAAAAACTTCATGGGATTAGCATAAAGTGGGCATATCTGCAAAGGGAAGACTTGTGGGTACCCATACAACCCATTTTCATTCAGGTATATATTGAGGTCACAGGTCAAGGAATCCCTTTGCCAATGGCCATGCCAATCTTTTCATTGCCAAAATGTTGCCTAAATTTGGAACATGGTTTAGCCCTCTTCCCTACAGGCTAGCATGACATGGTTGGTACCAATGGATACCGCAGGTCTTCTAGTTTCATACTAGTATCTTCACTAGCCTTAAAACGTAGCCCACTACAGCCTCTGAAAGACAGTGCAGAGTGGAAGAGGTAAGGAGAATAGGATGGCACTTGGGTTGGCCCCAAGCATCCCCTCTGGACACGCCCCTGTCTATGTGTACCTAATAAAGTACCAACTCAGTGTACATAGAGATAGATCATCCAACATATCCAGCATGAGCTCCATGTATTAAATTAAATAAAAAAAGAGAAAGTCATTTCCCAGCTCACCAGGCTTGTGTTTGATGTTGTCCTTGGAGCCGCACTTTGACGTCACCTTACTCAGGTCCACCTTCTTGTTGAGTATCTGCACCTGTCAAATGTCACATAGGCCTTTTAATCAGGAAACAGTATGATTTGGGGATATGGGTCCCTTGATAGCTATTTCATCTTCAGCTTTACTAAAAGCCCAATTTACACCTTAAATTACCACCATCAGGATAAGCAGGGCAACAGCAAGAAACAAGTTTTGTTCTGTTACAATTTCATGTTGATGTGTTGCAAAGAAGTGGTTGAATCCAGCCTATAATTCTGAAGCGAATACTTGATGATGGCAGGATCACCTGGTACAGTCAGTGTGAAAAGACAAAGCTCTAGACAGCACATCAAAATTTTAGGAAACAGAAAGTCCCAAATGTACCTCTCTGTGGTGACACAGACAATCTTGCTTTATTATTTGTTTAGTAAGTTAGTGACAGGGCAGGACAACATAAGAAGAGGTTGAGGAAGCAGGGGGCTGTCAAGCAGGTTCTGGGGAAGGGCTGGTACTTCAGGCTTGCTAGCATGCTGTCCAATAATCCCCTTAACTTCCAGGGGTCCAAGCGAGAGCAGCGCTAAGTGTTGGTGGCCATAAGTACCGTAGCTTGATGTTTCATGTAGCCTACTGTACAACTTACTCATGCTGGCACTGATAAGGACCATTTTCAGGAGCAAAAAAGAGCCTAATATTTCATCTTTGCTCTGCTGTTCCTTCTATCCAATTTGTCTGACTAATTGGCCGATGCACATGAGCTCTGGTTGTGGGCCAAGCAGTACTTACATTCCCTCCACCAGGAACATGCTTCATATTGTCCTTGGAGCCCAAGCGTGAGGTGATGTGGCTGAAGTCCACCTTTTTGGAGACTATGTGAACCTATACGGACACAGCATAGCAGCAAGAGGGAAGAGGAGAGCAGGGGAGGGGAGAGGGGATAGCAGGAGAGGAAGTGAAAGGAAAGAAGAATGAAAGTAAGCAGAGGAGAGGAAAAGAAAAGGTAAAAGAAGACAAGAGGATAAAACAAGAGAAGAGTAGAGGAGAAGAAGTCACCATAACAGGTAGGGTTAGAAAGGAGAGGGCAGAGGGGTGGAGCGAGGTTCACCTGGGCATAATCAAACATGGCTGCAAATATTCTAGCTCTTAGGTGTGATGGATATCAGCTGCTGGGCAGGTAAGCTGTCTGAAATCTTCCCTGTGTTACCATTTGAACAGTGACAGAAATTTTTCTAGAAAAGGAAAACAGCAGCAGCAGCTACTGAGTGCCACACAAACTACTTTATAGAACACACACATGAAACACAACATATAAACATCTGTCCCTGAGCAGAATTCAAGGAACCACAAGAAAATGTTATTAACACAGACTGACAGCTGACAAAAGCAACATTAATACTGTAGTTTAATTAGCTTGCCAGACCCATAGACTGTATATAAGGATGGATGATATGACAGTTCCCGAATAATGAAGCCAAAACATCTTCATCTCCTGCTGTATAATGCTATAAAGAAAGGTTTTTATGTCCTGATTGACAGCTGATCCCTGCTTGTGATTGAGTCGGCCGAACTTCGATACTGCGGCTCCAACTCAGATTGCTACTGTGCAGTATGTACCCGGGACATTTTGGCTTCAATTTTGTACAGTCACTATATACAGTCTGTGGTAAGAGATAACAAACCAAACCTGACATAGATCCAAGTTAGTTGTTACAGTTATAGTAGAAGTCATTGTTTGTCTTCGACACACCTACAGACTCTCACACACTCACTTAGCACAGTCACAGATTTGTCAGCTGTGGGCCACAGATCGGTGCCATAACAGTGCTGTTACCCACTGTTCCAAGACCTTTTTACACAAGTGACCAACCAGCAGGAGTTGCTAGTGCATCGATATCTGGCCCTACCACTTTTTGTATGTTTGCAACAAAGACTGACTCACTTAAAAGAATCCTGCAATGTTCCCTCTTTTTGTACTGTGTTGTTTTTCATTCTTTTCAGAACACATAAAAATCTACTTGAGTTGGATAATCCATCACATGAACATTACATCAGATTTTTGTTAGCTACATAATCATTATGTTTGTAAATGCAAATTATTTTAAAAGTGAACACTGCTTTAAAGCTGCAGTAGGTGACTTTTATAAAAATAACTTATAAAAAAATAAATCAGGTTCCTCTGGCTCCTTCTAGTGCTCCTAATGGTATTTGCAAGAATCCACTGGGCCTGAACAAAAACAACCAATCAGAGCTGAGAAAGATAGTA